AGCTCTGTATAGAAAGTTTGCTGGCCCCTTAGACTCCACATGGAGCAGAGGCCACGCGGTGACCTTGAAAGGTCAGAGGTGCAGCCTTATGTGAGGAGGCCTTGGGCCACATAAGCCTGAACTGCAGCGTGTGCAGGTTGGTGCAGTTATAACCAGATGTGAGCCACAACTGGGGAGGGAAGAAGTTGTCGTATCCACACCCTGATCCCAACAAGAAGCCCGCACTCTGGCTCCCTACCATGCTACACCCACAAGCATCCAGTGTTCTCCATAACAGTTTGTCATGAAGACAGTGTTTAAATCTTTCTTTGACTAATGACACTGGGACAGGCCTCTGGAGAGACGCCACAGGTGCTGTCATGAAGCAAGTAAGGATGCTGAGCCCAAAGGAGGCAAGAGGCGCAGCAAACTGGTGAGAGGTAGAACACACCCACCCCCACTCCCGCCAACCTTCTCTTGCTCAGAGGCAATGTGTCTACACCATTTGTGGTGGTTTGAATAAAAATGCCCCCCCCCCCCCGCGCCCCCTCCGTAGGTCCATAGGGAGTGGCACTATTAGGAGGTATGGCCTTGTTGGAGTAGGTGTGTCTTTGTTGGAGGAGGTTTGTTACTAGGGGCCGGTTTTGATGTCTCAACTGCTCAAGCCACACCCAGTATGGCAGTCTCTTCCTGTTGCCTGTGGATCCAGATGTAGACGTCTCAGCTAACTCTCCAGCACCATCTCTGCCTACATGCTTCCCGCCATGATGATAATGGACTAAACCTCTGTACTGTAAGCCAGCCCCAATTAAATGTTTCCCTCTATAAGAGTTGCCGTGGTCATGATGTCTTCACAGTGATAGAAAACCTTAACTAAGACAGAAGTTGGTACCAGGGACTCAGGCATTGCTGTGATAGGCCAGACCATGTTTTTGTTTGAAGGAATATGGACTTTGGGACTTTGGGTTAGGAAAGCAGTGGAATGCTTTAAGCACTGCTTAATGGGCCGTACTAGTAGGAGCCTGGAAGACAGCGGTGCTAAGGGTGATTTGAACTGTGAGGACCTGGCTCGAGAGGTTTTATGTGGCCTAGAGACCATTCTTGTGATATTTTGGTGAAGAATGTGGCTGCTTTTTGCCATTATCTAAAAAGTCTGCCTGAGGCTAAAATGAAGAGTTTTGGATTAATTCCCTTGGCAGAGGAAATCTCAAAACAGAATAGTATAGACTCTGTGGTGTGGTTACTAGTGTTAACTCTAATGAAGATTTATAATGAAAAGAATCAAGCTGAGCAAGGAAAAACACGAAATGTGTGGTTCAAGGAGAAAGGGGCACCAGGAAGTGGAATGGAGCTAAGTCCTGTGTTCAAGGAGGTAAACAGATTACTAAATGAAATAAAGGGAGTGGTGACCCAGGACAAGATTCCACCCAGCTAAGCTTCCACTTGTGAAAAGGCGTTAAAGAAAAGCTTAGGGCTGGGTGTGGTAGTGCACATCTTTTATCCCAGTACTCTAGTGACAGAGGCAGGTGCATCTCTGAGCTTGAGGCCAGTCTGGTCTGCAGAGCAAGTTCCTGAACAGCCAAGCTTAGGCAGTAAAGGAAACCATCGAAAACAGAAAGCTGGTGAACATGTAGTTGAACAAGGAGGCCATGTTCCAGCCCCAGCAAGCTGCAGAACTTGGCAGCTTCAGCCACATGGTTCTGGCTTTAGAGTCAAGGATACAGTAAAGTGGTTGTGGAATCTTCCTCTGAGATGAAGGAAAGCTGCTGAGGCCAGGCAAACATCAGGGTTGTCCCTGAATGGAGGCCTAGAGAGGCCATCGTGTGAAGCTGTTAAGGTGAAGCCTGGATTGCCTTGGAGACCCCAAGATGTTAGAGATGGAAGAATCTGCTGAGGAGAGCTGCTGACAGGGAGTGGAACAGCCCGAGAAAGAAGTGCGTTGCAGTCAGCAGAGCTGAAAGGAGCTGGAGAGCTGACTTTGAAGTCAGACATGGAGATGTAGTGTGGAGTTTGCCCAGTTGGTTTTTGGTCTTGCTTTTGTCCAGTATTTCCTCACTAAGCTCCCTTTCCACTCTTGTGGAATGGTACTGTATATCCTGTGCCATTGTATGTTGGAAGTATGTGATCTGCCTTTTTATTTAATTTTACAGGGGATTACAGTTAAGAGATTGATTGCATGAATCTCAGAAGATACTTTGAACTTTTGACTTTAAAACAGTGTTGAGACAGATAGACTATGGGGACTTTTGAAGTTGGACTAAATGCATTTTGCATTATGATATTGTTACAAGCTTATGGGGGGCCAGGGGGTAGAATATGGTGGTTTGAATAAAAATGACCTCCATAAGTCCATAGGAAGTAGCACTATTAGGTGTGGCTTTGTTGGAGGAAGTATGTCACTAGGGAGTGGGCTTTGAGGTCTCCGATGTTCAAGCCACTCCCATTGTGGCACCCTCTTCCTGTGGGTCCTGATGTGGAACTCGAAGACACCGTTCATAGTACACAGTAGGTGCTTCAGTATTGCCCCAGGCCGACAGGTATGCAGGAGAGCAGCAAGTCCTCCGCCTGCCACCATGCCTCCACTGAGCAGCAAGACCACCAGCACTAGGCAATGGCGCCTTTCTTTCCTCTGGCTTCTCCATGCCAGCCCACACAGCTGCTCTGAACATCCTTGGCCTCCCATACACTCTGCCTCAGGAACTTGCAAATGCCTGTGTGACTTTGTGCTAACACACACACACGCACACGCACACTGCCCCCCCCCCCCCCCCGCCTGCCCTGTGCTTAGATGGGTGAGTAGATAGATGGGCAATAGATGGGTAAATAGGGTGATAATGGACAGTGAATAGACATTAGGCAGGTGGTGGATGGATACATGGGTGGGTAGATGGGTAGGTGGATTTGTGGATAGAGCGATAGGTAGATGGACAGATACCTCTAGCTTCTGAAGACCGACCTACCCTTAGCTGCTGCCTTTAAACAGATTCAGACATTAGAATTCCATTCCCACAGTGACCTGCACCCTTACTCCTGTCCCCTGGGTCATGGCCTCACTCTCCATGGAGGTATCCAGGGGTTTTCCTTCAGTCTGCACAGTACCCCAAGGCCTTGGTCCTTGTTAACAAGAAAGAGTCTGAGGACACCGTTGTAACTGTGCCTCAGACAAGCAAGCAGTCCACAGTGAGAAACTGAGGCAGAGGGCACAAGCCTGCACAGATCCGCATTCCCAGATGCCATTGTGGGTCAGGGCAGCTCTGGCCTTTGAGCTTAGTGCACAGTGGGTTTTCAAAGAATGTCTCAGTAGGCTGTGTGTGAATCACAGTGTGTACCTCAGCCAAAGCACTGTACCTCATGCATCCTTGAGCCCTTTGCTGTCACAGAACCAAGATCCAGCCCTAAACCAGAACCCATAGTGCCGAGCCCAGAGCTGACCGTAAAAAATGGCAGAGGACAGGTGTGCTTGGAGGAGCGTGATGAGAGCTGGATGGAGGCAGGAGATGAAGTCCCAGTTAGTTTGGGTCTTAGGGAGGGGACGGGGGGGGGGCACCCTAAGCAGTGAGGAGAAGAGCTACATTGCGTCCTAGAAAAGAAGAATGTTCCAGGCAGAGAGGAGCAATGGAGCAGCTGGTCACTCTGCCTCAGTTTCCCCATATGTACATGGATCCAGATTTGGCTCTCAAGGCAGGGTAAGAGCTGTACCACTTGCTGTGTGTTTGACCTGGGCCCATTACTTCTCCAGCCTGCGGTTCGGTTCACCTCTGTCAAGTGCGCTCAGTGCTGCTAACCGAGGGAAAGGATTCACTGAGACCCGCAGTCCCGCTGTGGCTGTGCTCGGTCAACAGTCACCACTGCATTCTCTATCACCCTCCCCACTCCCGCCTTACAAGAGGAAGCTGGAACACAGATGTTAAGCAGCATGTATGATGTCACACAGCTCATGTGTGATGGAGGTGGGAGAGCGTTCCAGATCTAAGGCCTGTGGTGACTGTTGTTGGTCTCACCCGGATACCCCAGGCTGGTTCTGAGCAGATTGAGAGCAAATAGAGGAAAATCCCAAAGGATGGAGTCCACTACTGATAAAAGCTAGGTGGGGAAGGTGGGACAGATACTTGTTTGCCAGTGAGGTATTACTTTTGTTTGTTGTAGCCCAGGCTAGCCTTAAACTCTGGATCCTCCTGCCTCAGCCTCCCAAGCGCTGGGATTCTAGGCAGCTCAGCTGGTGTACCCTTCCTAACACCAAGGCCAGGAAGGTGTTTATGCAGCTCATCACAGCAGCGTGGGCTGCAGTGGGTGGAGAGAAGGGCCCACCTCCCACCTCCCCTACAGAAATACATCTGCTCTGCGCATGCCCAGTGTATTCTCTGTAGACTCTCAGCGGGTGAGTCTGCTCTGTGTGACCAGGGCCAGGAGTGTTAATGCTGAGCCTCTCTGTCCACTGGGAAGGGGTGTGGATGCTTCCCTGTTGTTAGTATTTTACTCTTTGGTTGGGGGACCTGACCTTAAATTACCCCATCTATCTTTTCGCCTCCAGGCTTTTCCTGTTCTCTTCTGTAATCTTACTCTTACTCTTACTCTGTGGCTTGCTGTATAACTGGGTGACTGGCCCCTAGAGTCCTCCTCCTTTTCAATCCCCCCTTCCCAGATTTCTCCTTCTATTTCTTCTCCCTGCCTGCCTTGCTATTGGCCGTTCAGTTCATGATTAGACCAGTCAGGTGTTTTAGACAGGCACAGTAACACAGCTTCACAGAGTTAACCAAATGCAACGTAAACAAAAGTAACACAGCTTAAAGCAATGTCCTACAGCATGTCCCTCCCGTATAAATGAATGAATGAGTAAGCAAGAGAGAGAGTGAAGGAATGGATAAATGAATGAATGAGTAAGCAAGAGAGTGAGTGGAGGAATGAATGAATGAATGAATGAATGAGTAAGCAAGAGAGTGAGTGGAGGAATGGCCTCTGATGGGAGGGCCCGGGATGTCTCTGCATGTCCCTGCGCTGGCTCACACTCTTGTTGCCCACAGTTGCCGGGGCTCTCGTTGCTGACTTCCTGTCCGGCCTGGTACATTGGGGTGCCGATACATGGGGCTCTGTGGATCTGCCCATTGTGGGGAAGGTGCGTATGCCAGGTTGTGTGACCATGAGTTAGTCCCATTGCCTGTCAGAGCCTGGGTTGCCTGACCCAGTGCCTCATGCCCTCTTGGTCTGAGGGTCCCTGTGGTTGGTGGCAGCACAGATGTCAGATGGGTGGTCAGAGAACTCAGGGAGTCTGCCCCGAGCCGGGACCTGGTCTAGTCTCCTGTGTTCCGATTTTAAGCTGTCAATTGGGCTGTCTGTGCTCACTCAAAGCAGGCTCCATTTAGCAGCATGAACTGGGAGATGGAAGGCTGCTTCCAGAAGCAAAGGCTTGAGCAACAGGTAGACAGGGTCCCCTTTGTTTATGTAAGGCCTCTTCACTGGCTTCACGCTGTATATTGTCTCCAAGGCCCTCACAGTATGGGTGGGGAGACTGAGGCCCAGAAGGATTGGGGAAGGTTTCCACCAGTGTTGGAAGCCATCTTGCACTCCAGCCCTCCAGACCTCAGCCCAGTCAGGGTCTGTGCCAGTGACAAGCCAGCCCAGCAGTGTGTCTGGGGTCTTCGGGGCACCAGCTGCCATTGACGGACAGGAGATGTCACCTATCCTCTGTCCACCTCAGGCCTTCATCCGGCCATTCCGGGAGCACCACATCGACCCCACAGCCATCACGAGGCATGACTTCATTGAGACCAATGGTGACAACTGCCTAGTGACGCTCCTGCCGCTGCTGAACATGGCCTACAAGTTCCAAACCCAGAGCCCAGGTGAGACTTGGAGCCAGGGTTTCTTAGAGGAGGCATCAGGGACAGAGGCTCTTGGGAGCCTCCAGGGGATGTGTGGGTCACTTGCATCATTGAAAGCATTCTCTATTAGTGGGGTGCCTGTAAAAGTTGGGTATTTAGCATAAGACCACATTTCCAACTTCTCAGCGACTCTCTGGTAATGTGGCCCCCCAGGGCCTCCTTCCCACCTCCTCATTGGACAGACTCCCCGTGAGTCACTGCTAGCCCGCCCCTCCTCCTGTTGTATTGTTTAAAGGAAAGTGTACACTGTGAGCACTGGGTTGGGGCCAACAGCTGAGAGTTAGCCTGCCATGCCCAGACCCTGGGTTCGAGCCTGGCACCAAAATAAAAAGACAAAAGTAGGGACCGGGAGCTGAGGCCAACTGATGCCCGTTTCTGAAGGAATCCCAAAGCTGGCCAGCTCACCACTGGGCATCAGGAAAGGTAAGGCCACATCTGTCTGAGAGCTGGTGACACTCCCCTTTGAGAGGAACGGAGAGTCTGCCCACAGGCAGGGCTGAGGTGCTGCTGGGCCACACCCCTGCTGACAGTCTCCCAGAAGCCCCTTCTCCAGAGAACCACCTCCTGCCTCCCCGCATCCCATGAGCCAGAAGCCAGCCAGTGAAGGCCTTCAGAAGGTCCTCGACTTTGCTTCTTTCCAAAGTGAACTTTGTGGAGCCGTTGACACCTAGAAGCCCACAGGGCCCAACGGAGACGAAATCCCTGTTCCAGACTCTGCCCTGTGTCCCTGGCTCTGTAGAAGTCTTTCCTCAAGAGACACTCCCTTGAATACATGAGTGTCCTCAGGTCCTATTCAGGGAACCTGACCCAGAGCCCTGCCCCAAGCTCACACGACCCACGAGTGTCAGCAGGCATCAGAACCCCAATTGGCTGCAGAGCCCACACTCTTAGCCTGTCCCTGGGCTGCTTCCAAATCTGAAGACTTCACAGTGCGGTCTGGGGGTGGGGGCTGGGTGCCACCTGGTACAGGAGCTGGCTGGCCGGTGGGGCAGCTGCACAGGGCCCGTGCCCGTGCCCATGCCCGTGACCTCACCCTGCAGAGACCCTGGAGCAGCTGTACCCCTGGGAATGCTTCGTTTTCTGCCTGATCATCTTTGGCACCTTCACCAACCAGATCCACAAATGGTCACACACATATTTGGGGCTACCCTACTGGGTCACCGTCCTGCAGGACTGGCACGTGATTCTGCCACGGAAACACCATCGCATCCACCATGTGGCGCCCCACGAGACATACTTCTGTATCACCACAGGTTCGTGGTACCATCCCCAGAGTCAGAAGGGTAGGGGGCATGTGGCCTTGGCCTGACCAGTATTCTGAGAATGCACATTTATTGAGTACCTGCTGTGTCCCGGGAGCTCTCGGTGCTGAGGATAGGGCCGTGAACACACCAAAGCCCCTTCCCTACTTCAGGCTGTTGTGACAGCAGGTTCTCACCCAGCCGGCAGACAATATCCTTATTTTCTGCCCCAGGCTTAGGCTCTAGCAGCAGTGAACAAAACAGACTGCCTTTGTGACTGCCGGGGGAGTGGCGCACACCTTTAATCCCAGCACAGAGGCAGGTGAATCTGTGAGTTCGAGGCCATCCTGGTCTACAGAATGAGCTCCAGGACGTCCAGGGCTACACTGAGAAACCCTGTCTCAGAAAACAAAACAAAGACAGTGGTTGAGGGAGTGTGCCCTAGCCCCTCTTGTGGGAGGTCCTTGTAGCCCACCTTCTTCACCTGTCTCCCGAGGACCCCACCCCAGGCAGGCTGGCTCTCTCCTCACTTAACCCCCTGACTGTGTCTGCTGCAGGCTGGCTCAACTACCCCCTGGAGGTGATAGGCTTCTGGCGTCGCTTGGAGGACCTCATCCAGGGCCTGACGGGTGAGAAGCCTCGGGCGGACGACATGAAGTGGGCCCAGAAAGTCAAGTAGTGTGTCCAGCTGCCTGGTCGCCAGCCTTTCCCAGCCTGAACTGAAGCCATCTGCCAAATTCCAGCCTCTTTGCGCTGCCCCTCCAGTGAAGAAGAGTCCCCTGGGCTGGGCCCAGGCACCCCACAGAATACTTGAGACACCGAGTTTTCATTTCCTCCTCTTTTCTTTCCTTGGGCCTTCCTGGCCATTGAGCTGCTCCAAGGCCAAGCCTGACTGCAGAAGGGGTGCCCCAACCTGGTGGCCAGCCCCGCCCTGCGCACCTGCCCTGCACACCCGCGCCCTGCCATGGTCCTCACTGGTATGGGGGGTCGCTGACTCCCTTGGTCTGTCCCTGGTAATCCAGAGAGCCTCCAGGACATTTAAATGTCCCTGCATCATGGTCCTCCCTCAGCCCTGCAGACCGACCCCCGGGGGCCTAGGTGGGCAGACCACTCCAGCTGCCATCCAAGGGAGGCAGAGCTGGGCACTGGTCAGAGGGCTGCTGGCAGGGAGAGGCCAGAATCCCCTGCCCACATACGGATACTCCCCCCACACACTCCAGTTCTTCTGTCCACATGTCCAGCCACATCCGAGGTCTTCAGTACGAAGACATCTTCACAGGGCGCAGCTCTTGTGAAGGGCTTGGTTGTTTGGGGAGGGGACACTGTCCCTCTGGCCAGTGTGTCAGAGGAGGAAGGAAGATTAGGGCTTTTTTATTTTGGGTTTTTTTTTTTTAAAGGTGCTTGCTTGTCGATGTAAATAATAGAAAGCCTTAATACCTTTCTGTAACATGGAGTAATATTTTAATGTCATGTTTTGGATGTATATAATATATTTATAACAAAGGAAGAATCTCCTTAACCCTGGCTGCCTCGTGATATTTCCAAATGGCTGCATAGAGGGGGTTAGCTCTGGCCTCAGGGAGGGGTCTTTATCCCCTGTCACAGTGACGTTTTGTTTAGGTTTATATATTTTATGTGTCTTGCCTGCATGATGTATGTGTACCACATGTGTGCCTGGTGCCCACAGAGGTCACAGAGGGCATTGGATTCCTGGAACTGGGGGTAGTGACGGTTGTGAGGCATCCGTGGGTGCTGGGAACTGAACCAGGTCCTCTGAATGTTCTCAACCATGGAGCAACCGATCCAGCCTGAATTTTTTTTTTTTTTTAAGGTAATGTGTCATATACTCAAGGTGACCTCACACTTCTTATGCAGCCAAGGTGGCCTTGAATTCTTGATCCCCCTACCCTCACCTCAACAAGTGCTGGGGTTACAGGAGGTGTGTGCCACCATTCACAAGTCTGTGACCTTTCACCAAGGTCATGCTAGAGCAATGCTGGCTAACCCATCCCAGAACTCCGTTAGGGGTCATTGCAACCTAATGTATGTCTTGACGATGGCCTGGACCCAGACCAACAAGGACTGGACCCTTGCGGGGGAGCTGACCTCCTGGAAAAAGAGAATAAATGCAAAGGAACACAGTGCAGTTTCTTTATTATTATTTATTTATTTTGGTTTTTTAAGACAGAGTTTCTCTGTGTAACAGCTCTGGCTGTCCTGGAACTCACTCTGTAGACCAGGCTGGCCTCAAACTCACAGAGATCCACCTGCCTCTGCCTCCCGAGTGCTGGGATTAAAGGCGTGTGCCACCACCACACAGCTTTATATTTTATTTTATTATTTATTTATTTATTTATTTATTTATTTTTGGTTTTTTGAGACAGGGTTTCTCTGTGTAGCTTTGCACCTTTCCTGGATCTCGCTCTGTAGACCAGGCTGGCCTCAAACTCACAGAGATCCGCCTGCCTCTGCCTCCCGAGTGCTGGGATTAAAGGCGTGCGCCACCACCGCCCGGCTGTTTTATTTTATTTTTAATTTTTATTTGTTTGGGTTTTTTGGTTTTTTGAGAGGCAGGATCTCACTATGTGGCCCTGGCTGTTGTGGAGCTCAGGCTGGCACTCAGAAATCCGCCTGAGTCTGTGCCTCAGTGCTGGGATCAAAGGTGTGCGCCAACATTCCCTGCTCACAGTGAAGTTTCCTGTCATCTGTGAAAAGCAACCAGCTGAAGCTGCCTTGGAGAAGCAGAGTGGAGGCTGCTGGGGTAGGAGGCCCCTGAAGGAGGCCGTTTTGAGAGCTGGAGGAGGGGCAGAGGCAACCTGGGTTGAACAGAAAAGTCCTCGGGGACGAGCTTGAGGTTAGGAGATGCTGAGGCTGGCCCTTGGACAAGGGAGAGGTGAGATGCTGAGGCTGTCATACAGCCTCATGCCACCGGTGGACATGTCAGCTGTTCGTCCTTTGAACAAGCACTCCCCAGCCTCCGGAATACAGGAGTGAATGTATATTATGGTCTGTCGTAGTCGGTCGGTCTTTGTACCGCCAGTTCTCAGATAACACGGAGACTTCTCGTTATGAATGCTTGACTTGAGCTTCGGCTTGCTCCCAACTAGCTCTTACAATTTAAATTAGCCCATTTATATTAATCTACTTTCTACCTCGAGGCTCATTACCTCTCCTCCATACTGAACGTCCAACCTCCTCTCGCTGGCTTAATCCTGCGGGCTTCAGATTCTCCCCAGAGTCCTCTCTCCCCGGAAGTTCTGCCTATCCTCTACACCTAATTATTGGCCATTCTGCTCTTTAGTAAAACAATCAAAAGGCGCCATAGACAGAGACACATCTTCACAGTGTACAAAAAGATTATCCCACAACAGTGTGTATGTAGTCGGGCTGCTGTGTGACTCCAGGCATGGTGGTCCAAGCCTGTAACTCCAGAATTCAGGAGGTGAAGGCAGGAAAATCATCTTTGGCTACATAGCAAGTTTGAGGCCAGCCTGGCCTATATAAGAACCTGTCTTTAAAAAAATGCCCCAGGGTAATTTCTGCAATATTAACGAGGAGAAAGGGGGCCTGTTGACACAAAATGACAGTATTCTGAAAAACGCTTAAAATATGTGTCTGTGTGTTTGTACACGTGTGAAGGTGCACCTGTAGGCCAGAAGAGGGCACTAGGTGTCCACCTAGGCCTTTGAAGCAGGGGTATTTCCTGAATCTAAGACTAATGTTCTTGGCTGGGCTGTATCCCAAGGCCCCAACAATCTTTTGTGTCTTCCCTGTCTCGGACCTGGGGTTATAGGCATTCGTGGGACACCCAGTTTGTTAGTGGGTGTCACGTGTCAATTTTGCCTAGTGACTGCTCAGTGAGTGATTTTTAACTGCTGGGCCAGCATTTATTTGTCAGATGTGACCCATCTCCCCATTGTCCCTAACCTTTGCCCACCACTGGCCACTACATCCACAGGAAGGGGTGTTAGTATTTGTCAGTGCATGAACGATGTAAACGGGGGCACGAACCTGACTAGCTATTCTAGAGGCCAAGGCAGAGGGTTTTAAGTCCTGGACAGAAGGAGTTCAGGGCGAGCCTGGTAATTTATCAGATGTCTCAAAAGTTAAAAGTGGGGGCTGGAGACATGGCTCAGAGGTTAAGAGCACTGACTGCTCTTCCAGAGGTCTTGAGTTCAATTCCCAGCAACCACAAGGTGGCTCACAACCATCTGTAATGAGATCTGGCGCCCTCTTCTGTATACATAATAAATAAATAAATCTTTAAAAAAAAAAAAAAAAAAAGTTAAAAGTGGCTGGAAATACGCTCAGCTGAAATGAAATAGCACGTGCCTAGGTGGTGGGTGGAGGGTAGCCTGGGTTTAGGTGGCTTGTGCCGCCCTCTGGTGGCAGAGCTGGGTTGGTGACGTGCAGGTCAAGCATGACTTAGGAGGGTAGGCATCTTCTGTGCCCACCTCTTGAGGAAGATCTAGGTATGTGCTGCTTCCCACCGGTAACTCGCACCACCTTAGGTGGAACCCAGACTTCCCAGGCCTGCCTTAGGATGGCAAAGACCATGAGCTGAAGGTCAGAAGCCTAGCAGGGTCAGCTAACCTCAGCTGAGGGCCCCATCCAGCCCACCTGGTTTCTAAGGCTCAAGAGCACTCTAAATGGCAGCGGGTGAGGAGGGGGCATATTTCACAACACAGTGTTCACATGTCACTAGCCATTGTGAAGTGCAGCTGTCACCCACCATCACCCACCATGCTGTTCATTCCCACACCCTCCCAGCTTCAGGTGGGTGCGTGCAGCAGAGACCAGAAGGCCAGATGCCTATGCTGCTCCATGGCCCTTTTCAGAAAAGACTCTGAACCCTCGTGTAGCCTGAGATTTGAGTTTCCCAAGCCCTCAGTTTCTCTCCCAAGGCACACATGCCCAGGGTGTGTGTGTGTGTGTGTGTGTGTGTGTGTGTGTGTGTGTGTGTGTGCCTGGAACTTGCCCTGTAGACCAGACTAGCCTCAGACTCAGATCCACCTACCTCTGCATCCCGAATGTTGAGATTAAAGGTGTGTGCCACCGCCGCTGCCCAGCTTGGTTTTGTTTTGACATAGGGTCCCATTCTGCAGCCCTGGCTGGCCTCAAATTTAGAGAAATCTGCCCGACTTTGCAAAGTGCTGGGTTAAAGGTGTGCACTACCATACCTGGTCATTGTGTGTGTGTGGCAGGGCAGGCGGGGTGGGGTGGAGTGGGTGACTACAGTGCCCGTTATGGGTGCTGGTTCCTCTGAATGCAAGGGCAATCACTTTGACAAGACTTTGGAGTCTGGTGTATGAGCAGAGAAGTCTGCCTACCCCCACACCTTCCCCCGTCTCTAGGAAGACATTACAAATGAACAACTTGCAGGCAGTGGTGGCCTTTAATCCCAGCACTTGGGAGGCAGAAGCAGGCAAATCTCCAAGTTCAAGGCTAGCCTGGTCTACATAGTTCCCAGGACAGCCAGGGATACACAGAGAAACCCTGTCTACAACAACAACAAAAAACAAAACAAAACAAAAACAAAAAACAAAAGTGAATTTCTACCTTCTCCTGTTTTACAAAATATTATGTTTGGTGATCAGAAAGGTTTCTTTCTTCTATTTAGAGCTGTATAATATTCCAGTTTTAGAAAGGACCTATCTTGGGGCCTGGGGGGATGGCTCAGCAGTTAAAAGCACTAGCTGCTCTTCCTGCCTTTGATTCCCAGCATCACATGATGGCTCCCAGGGAATCTGGCACCCTCTCTGCCCTCTCTCAGCAGTGATCCTGTGCCTCTCCTGGCCTCCACAGGCACTGTATGCACATGGTGCGTAAACATACATGTAGGCGAACACCAATGCATACAGAATAAAAATAAAGTGTATGGGGGGTGCAGTTAGAGAATGGACCGATCTTGTTTTTGAGACAGTCTGGGCTGGTCTCGAATTCATAGCAATCCTTATTCATCTGCCTCCCAAGTGCTGGGATGACAGGATATGTTACCACACAGGCAGGCCATCTTTTTAGTTCTATGTGTATGTCAGGAGGGTACTCTGTGTGTGTGTGTGTGTGTGTGTGTGTGTGTGTGTATGTGTGTGTGTGTGTGTGTGTGTGTGTGTGTGTACACGTGCGTGCACGAGCATGTACAGAGGTCATTGTCAGGTGTCTTCCTGTCTGATTTTTTTGTTTGTTTTGTTTTTCGAGTCAGGGTTTCTCTGTGTAGCCTTGGCTGTCCTGGAGCTCACTCTGTAGACCAGGCTGGCCCCAAACTCATAGAGATCCACCTGCTTCTGCCTGCGAGTGCTGGGATTAAATACGTGAGCCATTACTGCCCGACATTGTATTATTTTTTGAGATAGGATCTCTCACTGAACATGGCGGACTGACTGCCCAGCTAGCCCCAGGGATGCCCCTCTCTCTGTCCCCCAGGGCTGGAATTACAGGCATGCTGGCTTTGTGGGGGGGGAGGGTGCTGGGGACCTTCCCCACTCAGGTCCTTGTTTGCACAGCCAGCACTTTCTGAACAAGCCATCTCCCCAGATCCCACCCCATTCTTCAGACCCAGCAGTCTTGGGATGAGATCATTTGCAGGCCCAGGGACTACAAACTATATTCCCGTGCAGCAAAGGACCTTGGCTTTGCTCCTGAGTGCCGTGGACATGCAGGATCGGTTCCCAGAAAAGGGCAAGCAGGGTCAGTTCCCAGGAAAAAAGGTCAAGGGTGTCTGTGCTCTCCATTTTAGTTGCTGTCAGCAAAAAGCCCTCCTCCCAGGCTGTGCGGCATCTCCGCTGCCCGTCTCCCCGCACCCCTGCCAGCTCAGAGTGCTATCAGCTGTCCGGTTCTCTGCCCATCTGAGAGGTGCTCAAATTTGCATTTTCCCTCTGTGTTTCTCTGAATCTGGTATGTCCTGGGTCCTAAGAGATGTCCTGATCTCCCAGATGCTCCCGTGTAAAATATGCGTTTTAGAGTCCCACAAATAGATGCATGGGTCTCTGAATTTATGAAGTGTTCCAATTCCTTGTGACCATTTCTGTTTTCCTGGAAGACAGTGCAGCAGTAGTGTGGTAGTGCTTAATCCTTTGAGGGGGTGGGGGAGGTCTTGAGAAAGTCTTACTTTGTAGCTACATAGCCCAGGCTGGCCTGGAAC